AACCAACTTTTCTATTTTTATCCATCAGTTACATGGTCCCTAATCATCATTAACTTGATGCTCAAAATCCATTCTGTGAAGCTAACCAATGTAAAGTATTTATAATTTTTTAAAAGTCTAAAAGAATAATTAATTTCTGTGAACATAGTATACATCTCATATTTCTGCTTCATTAAATTCTATGATTTCTTCTTTGGGAACAGTACTTCTTACTTGGATATAGACATATCCTGTGGATAGTATAATATTTTCTTTTCTCTCTCGGATAGCTAATGAATTAAACCTGATTTTTAGCTTCAAAGGAAGTTATTTATAATGAAAAGCGACAAGAAAGAGAGCAGCCATCTATTATGAAATAAAAGAAATATGAATGTATTCTGTATATTTAAACCTTTAGGAAATGTTTGAAAATGCTATTAATTATAATTTGACTTCTTCAAAGAAGAATTTTTAAGACAAAATGAAAGGTAATGCAGTAAGTATGATACACTTTGAAATGTACAGATACCATTCTTATTTCCCAGTAGTAGAACTTGGCCCTTCACCATGTCTCAATAGGTCATTATAGCCATTTACTATTTAGGTGACTACAAGAGAGAAAGTATTTCATTTCCTTTTACCAGTGAAGTTGAAATGTCTAGGTATAATATTCTAGACACTAAGTTTACTCAATGTACAATATGTACATAAAACATTTATGAGAATAATGTTCAAAATACTAAGCACAGTCATTTTGATGCTTTTGTTGAGGTGCTGGACTTTGAACCAACCAGAAATGGTCTGGGTTCCCATTTCCCAACTTACATGGTTCTTGAGATACTTTAAATTGTTTTCTTTTTTTTCCTACAAAGAGATTCAGCCAACTGTGCATACCTAAAAGTGTACTGTAAGGAAATAAAAGGGACAAGGAATGCACAGTAGAGGAAGCTGGTGGAAAACATTTCTGCTCTGAAAAGTTGCCAAACAACTAATTTTTATTAAACTGAATCTTTGCATTTGAAGTCTGAGAAGATAAAACCAAACTGTTAAAGTGATTTAACTCTATTTTCCTTTCATTTTGTAATGACAATAATAAAAATTAATATCTAATATACTGGGTACTGGGGCAATTTACAGTGCATTGTCATTAAACTCTCACAAAAACTCTATGAGGCAGAAATCATCTTCATTTAATAAATGAGAAAAGTGAGGCATAAAGTAGTATTTAAAGAGTCATTTTGGAGTATATAGACAGGATCCAGGGGCACGGCTGACACTATAGAGAATAATAGTAAGCCCCAATATAGATTGTTTTTGTAAATAGTATATACTTTTGCAAATAATCTGAAATTATTTTTTATTTATATTGTTAGTAAAATGAAACCACTTTTATCCTGGTTTAAATTGATAAGCCATATTGTTGTTCCTTACCCACAATACAGGAAGCTTTTAAAAATTGTCAGAGTCATGTCTATGTAAAGGCATGCTTACCGTTGTGTCAACAGATACAAAACAATGTATAAGCTAAGACATAAACAGGATCTACAATCATCTAAGAGACACAGTTCTGGTCCTGTTTGTAAGGAACATCTCGATTAGGTTAATGGGGGTGGGGAGATCTACCCTAAACGTGGTGGTACCATTTCATGAACTAAGATACCAGAATGAAGGAAAAGGAGAAAGTGAACTGAGCATCAGCATTGACCTCTGCTTCCTGACTGCGAGTGCAATGTGACCAGCTGCCTCACGTTTCTGCCATCCTGACTTTCCCTTCATGATAGACTGAACTGTCTGTGAGCCAAAACAAATACTTTCTTCCTCCAGCTGCTTTTGTCAGCTATTTTGTTGCAGCAAGGAGAAAAGTAAAACACAGGGTATTTTCAAGTGAGCTCCGTATTTTCATATATACATATACGATACTTTAAAATACAAATGTACTAAGAGATATTAAACCGAAAGTATGTCTCTGTACTATGGACTGTGTCATGTCTCTTAAGAGTCTCAAGATCCTACAGAAGCTTTTTAATATTCTGCTGTTTGCAAGAGGGTTTTCCTAGTACTCTAGGCTTACCCACAACTCCCTCTTTAGTCCAGGCTGAACTTGAACTCACAGTAATTGTGCCTCAACCTCTAGACTGTTGGAATTACAGGTGGATGCTATCCCATTCAGCCTAAAGTCTAATATTCTTTATTGTAAACATTCCTTGAGTAAAGAGGTAATGTAAAAAGTTATTAGGAGAGTATTGGTGGGTCAATTTACAAATTGGAAAATGAGAATATTTGTGACTAAGAACTAAATTGAATGTTCTAAGTATAAAGGACGTATATAGTATATCTGAGGTACCATTCATGAGCTAGTAAGTTAAACTATCATTTGTTGAAAAATATGAAATGTGAACTTTTTGTACTTTAGCTTGTTCTGTAATATATTCCAGAAGGATAGAGAATTTCCCCCCATAGTGTTATACTTGGTATGTTCATATAGTGGGACTACATGAGGGGGTCAAATAAAGAAGTTTTCATTGATTACATAGCAAAATATGAGGTACTCTGTATTTGAAGCTTTGAGGTTTTGACTTAAGGATTTACAGAAACCCTCAGTATCTCAGGACTAGGTCTTGAGAAGTACCAGTTATTTGGGTATGGCAGGCATTTAGAAATCCTGGATGACAACGATTTAACCTTTGAAATTCAACATAAACATCATGCTTGCTTGACTTCCTAGGCTTCAATTCAACAGCTAACATATTATATACATTTTTCTACTTACCTGAAACAACTTTGCTATCTTCTAATGATTCTTACCTTTGCATTATGCCTATCTTACAGGTAGCATTTAAGTTTTATTGACCCTTGTGTCCCCAGTGCCTGGATGATTTTATGTATATAGCAAATATTAGCTGAGAGAGTTAACAGATGAATTAGTTTTGGGGAAAATTATGGAAACAAATTTCCTGTTACTGATAGGTATATTTCATCACTTAAGATCTGACTTTGAAAGAGTAAATATATTTAGCTGTTGTTTGCTTGGAACAGTCTTCAAGTTGTACCTGAACATCTCTGTGCAACTATCTACAAATATCCATTCTAAAAATATAGATTAAATAATACTACTTTGAGTTATGATTATATTTTATAATTAAAAAAAGCTTTGTTGACTTCTTTCTCTCTTGCTGAAATATGCACACATTTATTTTCTTCTCAGCTATTACAAAGAAATACCAATTATCTATAGACTATAGAAATTTTCTAAAATATAAAGTGTTTATTTTACTGGGAGAGGTATGTTTTGTGGAACATGACTGAACCTTTTAAAGGTAGTCTGAAAGTTGTAACAATTTGTACCTATTCAAGTAAGAACCCAGTAAACATTTGACTGTATTTGGTGATGGTAATTTCCCCTTACATAAAGCATTTATCTAATCTGATATTTGTAGAAAAATCTAGTATGTAAGAAAGTAAGAGTAGATGTACTATATAGCCTACTAATAACTGATGGTCAATATGTACTTGTGAAATAAATAAAACTTTTGTTTTTTGAGACAGGGTTTTTCTGTGTAGTTTTGGTGCCTCTCCTGGATCTCACTCTGTAGACCAGGCTGGCCTTGAACTCACAGAAATCTACCTGCCTCTGCCTCCCGAGTGCTGGGATTAAAGGTGTGTGCTACAACTGCCCAGCTAAAACTTTTATATTATGTCATGGGTCAAGGCAAGGAGGGTTAACAAAGATGAAGACACACCTCTATACTTCAGTATTACAATATAACAGTACAGAAAAAATTTCAAATACCTCTAATATGTGACAGTCGGACGTAAGTGCAACCATAATAGTACAATTAAGAAGTTATTTAAAATATAAATACTTATTCTTATGATAACGAAACACATGCACAGAGATGAACTTGAATGTAAGTACTCATGTTCTTTTAAAATTTCTTTATTATCATCACTATTTGTGTGCATGTGTGTATAGGGGTTTGTGTATGTGTCATAGTACATGTGTGGATATACCATGAGGTACCATGTGCCAGAGGCTAGCTTCTGAGAGTTGTTTCTACTTTTTCATTGGGTTCCTGGGTCCAAACTCAGATTGTTAGGCTTGCACAGCAAGCACTTTTTACCCGTGGAGCCAACTTGCCAACCTTGGTTTCTATTCTTAAGTTTAAATTTTGGCAAAATCTTATGTATATAACTTCAGCAAATAGCTGTAAGGAAATTGACCATGTGAAGGAAGAAATGACTGCTCTTGTGGGAACAGAGGATGGAGCCTGGGTGAACTAATCAGGAAAGATCTTATCTTTTCCCAAATTTTATGTTCCTCACTCTAAGGGATTCATTTGAAACTGAACAGCAAAAAGCATAGACTTCCAATTAAATCCATTCGTTTTACATTTTAGGTACCTTTTTGGGCAAATATTAGAGATACACTGTATCAGTTTCTACTACTTGTGACCATGTTACCGTCTTGATTATACATGGAAAATGGAGAATCAATAATTAAAATTCCTAACATATCAACTCTAGGTTAGTATATGCCCTAAATAAGGTTTGTCCTTTCTAGTTAAAATTTTCCTCTAAGATCAATCGTACAGCTTCTTAAAAGAATATAAAATCTAATACCATATTTTCCTCAGAAAAGTCTATATAAAAGATTCTTTAAAACTCCCTGAGGATTAAGAAAATGATTTTATTTTAAAGAAATCATGTTAGTTATTAGTACTTATACTTATAAAACTCTTGCCTTATTTTAATTTTGTCACCTATCATAGAGGAAATACATGTGATTCTAAGATTTTTCACATGCCATTCTGAGTTAAAATCTTTACTAGTCTTTGGAAAATCTAGAACAATTTCTAATATCATGTCTTAAGTTGTTGATATTCTACTTAGAAGTATATGATGTCACTGATGACTTTTAACTATTTAGGAGGAATCCAGTAGTCTCACCATTCTTAAAGGGAATCAAGAGACTCAGGGCAGATACATATTCTTACATAAGTGAGGGAAGAAAAAACTCTTACCATAGGTCGGTGTGCTTTCTCGTCTTCCTTGACTACTTGATCTTCCTTTTTCATATTCATAGCAATATAAGACAGTATCTTCTTCCACAATGTTAAACCTCTTTCGATATTCCTGATCCAGAAATGAGTTTGGGGATTCAGATCCCTTATGAACTGGCTTGCCCACCATATGTCCTCTGAGATCTTCACAAGGAAGGTTTCCCTTTTCATCCCTAAAGCAAAGCGAAGGTAGAGGAGATGGCTGTAGTATTAGGGCCATACAAAATTACAGGAGCCTTAAAATATAAATAATACCATTCCCTTATGATGTATCCTCAGATCTTTATAAGATTTCTTTGAGAGCTATAGGATTAGTTAAAATTACTCATATTTTGTCCCAAACAAGGATAGTGAGGCCCAACGGTTAAATAACTGGCCTAAATATCATACAGATAATAAATGACAGCTACAAATACACCATGGATCTTCTAACTTCTGCTTTAGCTCATTTTCAATGTGTCATGCCATAGGAAGAAAATTAATTTCAGCATATAAATGAATTTTATTTGAAAGATAGAAACTAGGTATAATGCTAACAAATTTACCATGTTTTTCTCCTATCTTATTAGTTTTGATAGAATTTGTGTTGCTGAAAAACAAAGTTCTTTATGAGTCTATCACCAATATACAGAAACACTATGTTTTTATGAATTATATTAGTACCACATAAATAAGTATTATGAGAAGTTCAAACAGCAGGTTATTAATGTAAATGAATTTTAATGTTGATGATTACTATAAATATTCAAAGTCTATGTATTTCCTGAGAGTAACAAAGTTTATATAGAACTCATTCAGAAAGGCTACATAAAAATTACACATTAGCAATCTCTTATGGAAAGAGGGTGGAAAATATGGTAAAATAAGGAATTTAGGAAGGGGATTTGGGGGTCAGCAAATCCACTTTTTTATCCGTAATAATTTAAAAAGTATTTAAGAAATAATTTAAGCAGAACATTTTATGGAATTCTTAAATTTTATTGTTGTTATTTAAAAATAGTCCTTTACAACTTTCTTTTGAGCTTTTGTTATAGTAATTTCATTTTTATTTTTATGGAAAATTTCACATGTGATCAATACATTTTAATCATATCCATCCCTCACTCTCCTGCTCCAATTTCTCCTAGGCTCCATTATATCCTCCCCCATTTATATCTTTTTTCATTCCCCCCCCCCTTATAAGTTGTGGAACTTTTAATGAGCACAGCTCAAGTAATTTGTGAGAATGTCTAATTTGGGATTTTTCTTCATGAGTAGTGTGAGGTGCAAGGTCATTGTTTTTAGAAAGTAATGGATGACTGCGCTCCTAATGAAAGATCCCTTCTAAGATTAATTAAACAACACCTTATTTATCTTATGAAATGTTTCCCTAGGTATCTGAGAAATTTTTTTGTTAAAAAAATTGGTGTTTTATAACATGACTATGAATATAAATGCTATGTTTTTTCCTCTCATGCATCATTGTGTTTCACTGATTATAGGTGTTCCTAGTCACCCTAAAGAGTACCATAAATTAGTGCTATCAAATAAGAAAACATGAATTTTATATCAAAACAAGACTAAAATCTTAAATTTGCAAAATAAACGAGTCATATTTTAATTAGCTTCTATTACACCATATAAAATAGTGCTGAATTTATAAATGTATGTCAATTTAAGAATTATGAGTCTCAGCCTACCCAAAACCCATATTTATACATCTTTATGAAAATGTTCAGATATCCGAATGTAGAGAACTAAAATCCAAGTATTTAAATATATAGAAAGCAACAAATAATATTCTCAAAGCTGACTCAATCAGAAAGTTGTCCTATTAATTTATTTTATTACCAGGTAAAGTTATCATTTATATAATCATTTACCTTTTTTACTTGCTAAAACACATGCATTGCTTACTATCAAATTATAAATATGTAACTAGTTCTTAGGAAACATAAAGAACACAAATATAAATCTCAGTGCAAATTTCATTTTTAGTTAGCTGAAAGGTCTTCTTGGACTAATTGCCTGGTATTTTTTGTTACTGTTAGCTCTCCACTGAAAAGAAATTGACATTGCAATTAGCTTGGAAACAGTTGTAGTAAATTCATAACACTGGAGTAAGGTTATGTTTATCTGTAAATTTGCAGATATCTCTGAGGCCTGTGAAATGAATACTAATGCAGCTTGTAGCATGAAGTAATTCAGACCTATTGATTTTCCATGTTATATTTATATAGACATTCTCTGTGGGAGAAATTGCAAGAGCTGGCATTTTCTATAATACAGTGTTATGGAGAAGCAGCCTTTTACCAACAGGTCAGGTTTATTAAACATATCTATATGTAATTTACTCAATAATGTTAAATTCGAAAATGTACCAAGCAAAACAAAAGTTTCTAGTGGAATGAAGCAATAATATATACAAGTTCGTATGCATAATTAACTATATATATGTACATATGTATGTATTCATAGTATGAGTTTCTGAAGAACTTATTGCATTCACTGTAATACAAATATTTTCCATTTTCTTAAATTCATATGTGCATATACAAACATAATAAATGTATGCCTATGCTCTAGATTTAAGGATTCAGATTTAAAGATCATTGTTCTAGTAGGTATTCTTTACATTTAATGAGACATAGTAGAGTTAATAAGACAAATTAGTTATTATAGCTCATAATTGTTTAAGGACCTATAAAATATTCATTTGCAACATAAAGATATTTTGGTTAAGTATAAAATATAACTTGTGTTATGTTTATATATTATCAAAATTCCTATCTTATAAAAGATATCCTTACAATATTCCTTTAATGAGCACCTAAAATGTGAGATAGTAAATACAACTTTTCACTTTTATTTAAGAATGTATTAAAAGCATCTGTAAACTCTATCCATTTAAAAACATATGAAATGTTTTACATGAAATTGACATTTCTTGAAGCTTCACAGGTAAAGATCCCCCGTTATTATTTACCCTGTATGATAATTTTGGTTATTTAATATTACTCTCCTATCATACGAGGTAATGTGTGTAGGATACTCACTGTCCAATGAATGTTTAATAAAATTTGGTTGTTGTCAATATTAACAAAAGTGCATTTGCTATAATGAGAATTGCTTTCTAGAATGTGTTCACAATGCCCAAGAAACAATATTCCAAGTGTTTGTTTTTTTATGAACTGACTTCACAGCTTAGAAGCTATTAGATTAGCCTTTAGCTAGAAGCTGCCCAGAATAACACCATAGGTTGTTTATACCTGGGAATATATGGTTCTGCAGGAGGTGGGGGAATGTAGAGATCCTGGAGGGCAGAACTGTCTCTTTTGGTGGGTGTACTGATGGTGCTGGAGGGCGTAGCAACGCTGCTTGTGGGACTTCTAGGTATAAGAGGCTGGTTAAAATGAAAAAGAAAATACATACGCACACAAACAACACAAAACAACAACAATGACACATAGTTATCATTTCAAAATGATCAGTTTGTGCAAAGTTTTGAACTTGGCTGAAATCAAGAAAAATGTTATTTACCATATGGATATTTCTTTGATCTCCCCCAAACAAATAATATATTATAGAATTTTCCATGCAGTTCTCAACTCACCTTTTCAGTGGTTTAACCTTCCAAAAGCTATTTATAAAGTAAAAATACCATTCAATGATTCATAATGAGAAGACTTACATCACTCACAAAACAAACATATTTAAATTAACTTTGCCAGAATCAATTTTGAAAGCTAATAAAAATAATTCATAAAAGAATTAGCTTCCTCACATCCTGACTGACATTTGACAAACTATAGTGTTATGTTAGTAAGAATGTCTCAGATGCTCAAAGAAGGTAAGAAATGGCTATCAACACAGGAGAATATTTTCTAGGAAACTGTACTTCCTCTCAACATAAACACAGGTAGGTGTCTCTTCCGAGCCATTTTATATTAAATCTTCAAAAGCATGGTGACTAAGGTGACGTGATCATTTCATCATTCACAGGCACGTAGACTTATCTATTATTTAAATTCATCTTTGGTTGCATGCCTATAAATCTCTTGGATCTAAGTGTTGATTGGAAGTTGCCTTCTAAAGATACAGTATAAACCAAAGTAATCATATCAGTCTTAAGAGCAATTCCAATTCTAAGATTCATGTTATTTGAGAATAATCTTGTGGAATGAAAAATTATCCTAAACTGAAACTCAAATTCACAATTTTTTACATTTATCTTATAGATCTTACTGATTAACTATACATAAAATTAATGTAAACATAAAAATCCCAATGCAATCTCAAACACAAAGATAATGACCACAAAATGAATGGCATCTTCATATGACAAAATGGTGCTATTTTAGTCTGGATGAAACCCATTTGACATATCTAGATGATAGACTCACAATTCTACTACTTCAACATGCATTTCTGGACACTCAAATAAATGCATATTACAACTATTTTGTACTATAACATTACTTTCATACAGATAACCAAAAAATGTTTGAAAGCCAGGCATAAATACAATGGAAATTACAATGTAGGTCACTGGGATATGCTAACACAAATTGGGACTCAGTTAATGAGTTTGACCTTCCTCGTTACACAGCTCACCTTAATAGCTTGAACTCACACTTTCTGCCAAAATGATGGTTAAGTTTAAATGTTATGTGAAATCAAAATTAAAAAAAAAGAGAGACAGGGACAAGGAATGATAATGTATGAAATCTTAATTTTCTATCATATATGATGATTTGAAATTGTCAGAAAATTTACACATTAATTAAATAATTTTAATACATTATGACAGTATGCAATAAATCCTTCCCTGTCTTATAATATAATATTTTTTGGAATAAAATTCAGTTAATCTATGCCTGTCCTATAGAAACACAATTCTTGGCAATGAGAAACTGAGATATAGGTGACTAGAAGACTCATTTGTACTGATGAATGCCATGAAGCCAAAGATATTAGACAAATGAATTCTTTCTAAGGCTGTGTTTCATGCCACTATAATATTTGAGTGAAAGGTTCAGGGATACATACACATGCACACACACTCACATTCCTAGTTACTGCAATATGACTGCTTATAGGTCTTTTATTATCTGTTATCTTTTAGCTCTAAATACAGACAACCCTAATAGACATGCAGTAAAAGAAAACCTTATTACACAGCACATTAATTTCTAATACTTTAAAATCAATTTACTATGAAAGAAAAATGAATATTTAGTATGCTTTTTAATACACTAGTATGTACTTTAAAATATCCCAATAGTACAAGCGAACTTAAACCACTTTCTAGTAACACAAGCTTTTAACAAAAAGCCATCTAACTTAAATTTTTATTGTTTTTCCTTTATTTTAAGGTTACAAATTGTAGTTTGAAGATGTCTCTCCATTCCTTTAGTGATCTATAGAGTTTTTGTTTGTTTTCTTAGTACCTACTTTCTTCTCCCCACTCCCCAAAAAACAAAGAAAGAAAAAGGGAATTGTAGTTAAGTTTTACAAGGGTATTTAAATATGCCTTAAGTATGAGGTAAAAACTTAGAATATTTTATTCTGCATACTTTTCCCTTCTAGCAGATTTAAGGATTAGCAATGCCAACTTCCTTCAAATTTCTATATCTATACATTTCTATTTTCAACAAGGAGTTGCTATTAATGTCATCAGTAAATGTGAGTCACTATATTATATTGAAAAATTAATATAAGAAAAAAATCTTAAAATGTTGAAATAGATGTCAGGTTTGATCATGTTACCCTGGTCCAATTAATTGAACTGCTTTAAAAAATCCAACTTGTTTTTACAGAAAAAAAGAGGAATTAAGTCAATTCTGTTGCTGAGTTCAACTGGCTGTTTATTTTACTGATAGGTAAATCAGAGGAAGTGTTTTAATGCGTTCATTTTGTGGACATCATCTGGCTTATCAGTGTGCCCTAAACCAATTAAAGATCATACAGTAAATACTCAATATACAGGCAAATATCTTTGTCTACTACTTGTGCTATTATTATCAAGCTAAGCACAGTTAGAAAGAAAACATTAATTTGGAGAGTTATGTTAAAAAATCAACTTTGACATTGGCAATGGAAAAATAAACTGTGTCCTCACTTTAAAAACACTGTGGACAAGAAATATTATAAAGCTAAATGACTGAGAGAATTTTAAAATCATTCAGAAACTTTAGGAGACAGTAAGAGTGTAACAGCATAGAATAAATGACAAAATTAAGATGAAATCAATTCTTGAGAAATTCCTAATTGTAACAAGCTGCAGGAAAAAACAAAACCAAAAAACCCATCTACCATTAGTATGAAAATGGCAAATTTAGTATCCCTCAATTAAAAACTAAGTATCTTTCAGAATTGAATTCAAATTTTAATAGGTATATTCTTTGACTAAAAGTTTCAAGTAAGAGAATTTAATAAAATTAAGCTATAGCTCCTCTTATCCTAGGAACATTTATGTAAATCATTTATTTATAACATAGCATCATCGTAAAAGTTATAATTGTAATAGGAAGGACTTGCATTTTAAGTAAAAAGAATTAATGCTATTTTTCACAACTTTAATGTTTGGTAAAATGTGTATGGGAAAAACTACTATCAGCCATTAAGGATATTGTTTTAAGACTGAATATTGTCATAAAACTTCAATATAACACAGTACTGTGATATGGATTCAAGTGTTTTTTAGATCCATTTTGAATTCCCATTCAAACGATTTTATTTAGAAGGACCTGTCATAAAATCTAGTATAGTTCTTATGCCATAAAGTTTTCCTTCCAGAAATTGAACAGCACTCTGTCACAGAAGACCATTTTGTGTGTGTATGTGTACATTTATGTGTATGTATGTGTGTGCATGTATGTGTGCACCTTACTCATGTAAATCAAGTCTGATAAATTATTGTAGAACACTGCTATTTATCCTTTTAAGTTCAAAATCCTATGCATATTGTTAAATGTACATTTAATGAGTACTTGCTATTGTTGTCAGGACTCAGAAATCTACTTAGAACTTACATATGCATTTTCAGTGTCTGTTTATATTATATAAATATCTTAAAGACATATTCTAAAATATAGTATCGTACAAATCTTTCCCCAATATATGAGTGAAAACTTCAGCAATAACATCTTACTGATCTTTACACATTGATGGAGGGTTGTAATTGTCAAAGAAAATTTTTAGCTTTTACAAGAGATAAGTGGATCATTACTTTAAATCATTTAATAGACCAAGCCTTTTCTTCTTTGTATACTCTAATTTTAATATCAAAACTAACACATCTGTACAGTACTGATATATATATATATATATATATATATATATATATATAACATATATGTGAAATGTCTCTATATATATCAGTGTATAAGTAATCTCTATGGTAAAGATTATAAAAAAAATGTCCACACTTAAACTAAATTTGTATTTTAAGTTTCACTTGAAATATCTTATATTTTAAGATCTTTGGCAAGCATATCTTAATTTAGTTGTCTCTCAGTAAATGATCCAGTGAAGTTAAGAGATATAAAAGTTCTTAATGAAACCAATGACATAGAGGCAGCCCCAATATTGAAATGTTAAAAACTGCAATAGTACTTAGTTCCAAAGTTCACTTAGGTCAAATTAATACAAAAACTCGTTTTTCCCTTTCAGGGACAAAAATATTAACCGAGATACAAATGATTACATTAAGTATATAACCTAGCCATTCATTTTATTTATTATTAGAAATAATCACAGACTTCAGCTGACCACAATACCTCAATTTTCTAGCAGAGGACAGTCTTTAAGTCCTTATACAGTTCAGGCACATTCTTATTAAATTCCCAGTACTGGTATCATTTACTACCAGAATATTGCTTTATATTAACAATTATTTCTTCGATCATTTTAACAAATGTTCCAGAGAAAATGTATTCTGGGTTTGGAAACAAGAATTTGCATACAATCTTGTACATTTTATGACCACAAAAAGAATGCTAGATATAATTTTAAAAAGTAATGTGTACATTTGTATCCTGGCCAAACTTTTCCTAAGTGATAAATTATATTTGAAAATAACTTAAGCAAATAATTGCATGTGTTTAAAACTTCTTCCTCAGTTTCACAGATTCCACTATAATACAAATTTATAAATACAAAACATTTGTGATTTTTATAAGCATGTAAAATTTCTGTTGTTCTTACTAGACTATAAAGAAAACAATTTTTTTTCAGACCATGGGTATAATCAGGAGACATTAGACCCTTGAATTTAAATACCACAGATATATGGACACAAAAATATGTATGTTGTTATACAATATATAACATAGCCTTTGGAGTCATATTACAAAATAGCTTTTTCCACCAAATCATCTGTACATTGTACTGATGATAAGATTAGTATATGTAATTTTGTGCTGTTCAATCTCATATGCATAATTAAATGGCAATATTAAAATTGAAATTATATGTTCCAAAATATAGTTAACAACATTCTGGGATATTAACTGAAGAAACTGCATTGGAAATTGAGGTTTTACTTGAAGCACTTTACATTTTAAGATCTCTGAAAAGCATAGCTTAGTTTAATTGTCAACTGTTTAACAATGGCTCACTTTGCATGATAGGTTACTTATTATTTGTAGTAAGTGTTAAAACATAAAGGCATTTGGCTGAAACCCACAAATATTACTTTGATTCTTTGATTGCTTAAACACTGATGAACTACAATTGATATGATAGCTGCTTGTAGTTATTTCCTAATTTGAGCATGTAAAACACAGAAATTCTACTGCTGTCTAGCCAGCACAATTACATTTTTAGTTAAAATTACTTTCTAGTGTTACACCTCATATAAAATATTTTCTTCACAATATGTTTTAAAACAACTCTCAAAAACATACCCTCCACTAATGTTTGTTTAATAACATCAACCTGCATCTTGGATATTGAAATACATTTTATTGCTACTTCTGTTTTGACTTTTACAATTACTTTAACCATTTATATTTGTATGTAGTTTAAATTTAATGTAATCACCATTCTATAGTTGTTATACCAACTGATATACAAAATTGACTGCTATTGACTATTTCCTTTCTGCTCAAATCATTAAAATATCCTGTAAATTGCCATCAAGATTAATTAAACAATGAAATGTAAGTACAAAATCACAAACCAACACTAATAAATATGGCATCAATATATGAGATTTATGGAGTAGAAAATAATTTAGGAATATAATACTCTTCATATAGCTTAATATTAATTTATATAAAATATTTTGAATAGCTAAATCATTTTTTCAACTGTAGCATGGATTGTTCTGAGATGTTTTTACCCACCAAAAGCTGGGTTCTTCAACAGTTTTAAAAATTCAGTGATTTCCAGGGATGATTTAAGGAGATTTCTTGGTAGTGTCCAGCTAATTGTTCCATACATCTCTTGTAAGAAGAAAAGGACTGCCCGTATGTTCTTGCTGCAATGCATCTTAATTCAGTACCACAAACTTCTAAACATGTACTTGTGGTCTATCCACTACTCCCTGAAATTTATTTATTTCACTGACAGAAGAATGTGACTATATGCAATCACCATGCTTACCCACATCCTGGAAATTAGCAGAGTACCACTAAGATGGTTTGCAAGCAGCTCTCAGAAGGTAAGATACCCCTGTTTACAAGACTGTATCTCAAAGACAGACATCTCTACCATTTATGAAAGTATACAGATGACAACAGAATTCAATTTTTCAGATGTAATTAAATTTGGTCACTGTATCTAATTAAGGGATCTTTAAGACCTTCACTTCTATTATCAAATGTTTGAGAAAATAGAATTTTATCAAAAGAGCTGCCAAATTTCATGAAATGTGCTGATGAAATTTTTCTGTGAGCATGAAGTTGAATTGTATGCTTTTGCTTATTTGGCTATGATTTCCAAAGAAATTCCAAATCAAAATCTGCCATTGCAGTTAATTAATATTAAATGGCCCTATTTTAAACAGTTTAGAAGTAAAACCTTAGGATACATATATTTTATTTGTATAAATAAAATGATTACTATGTTTGTTAAAAATCATTGATTTGAAAAAGATGTATGCACTATTTTTTTGGCCTCCATGTTAAATCAATTGTAATATTTATTTGAACAAAGGTAGTAGGTAAGTTAAGCCTGGTATTAAGAAAATGAAATAGACATGCTGATTTAAATAATTTCCACAGATTCGCTGTATAGCTTTTAACTAAGCTAATTCCTACTAGATTACTGGTATATTTGACAAAAAGAACCAACATAATACAAACTTCAAGTTGGCATACTGATGATTTATACTTAAGTGAATTAATAGGCATTCTGGTTTCAGCCGATTTATATAGATACCAGAATTAAGAAAACAATAATAATGCCACTTGTGTCTACACAGAGGACTGTTTACTGCATTAGCTTTTATGGTTCACATATGAGGCTGGTTCTCAATAACTAGGAAGAAAAATACCTTAGACAAAGGTATGAAGTAATCCAAAATTGCCATCAAACCTCATCCTATTATTTGACTTTTCCTCTCTGGTACAGTCTGCATTCAAATCTCTTGAAATTTTAGGAGTTTCCACTTTTTCTTGTTCTCGAATCTGTATTCTATGAAAATTCTGATCAGGTAGTTTCTATTAAGCCTCAAGGTGTATTGATTTAAGTACAAGCTTAAGCCTTAAGCTCAAGAAAGAACTCTATAATGGTATAATAGTCAATCCTCAAAATAGGTTATGGGATCATGTGGTGGTGGTGCTCTTGTGAAATTACAGAGCATACCCATTCTTACTCCTAAGAATTTATTTTAGAATAAATAAATAAACTGCGAAGAAGACTTAAATTAAAACCAATTCTTTCCCTTCTGCTTTGCAAAAGTCAACTTTGAAGCTATTTTTCAAAGATGTTAAAAGTAGTTATGTTTTCCCTAACAGACTTGCTTATCTAGAGATGGTGAACTTTGGGCAAGACGTTTTTAGGTTATCCCAATTCAGTTAAATAGCAAATTTACAAATGTGTTGGTATATACACATGTACTTATTTAAATTATCTCCCCCCCCCAATTTTAGTATCATGAGAAAGTAAATAAAAATATTCAGCATTAGTGAGAAATGAGTAATGTAAGTATAATTAATGATCTGATAATGCTTATTTAGAAGCATTTAAGAATGAACTTAAACAGTACCTTAAAATATGATATAATTATATTGTAAAGAATGATGAAACTAATTTTAAAAGGTCTTTTCCCTCTAACTGTGAAAAGAATATATAGCATGTGTATGTGTAATATATAAAATACTAGTTTTGGGATTATTTTACTTTCTTATATAGAAATGTTAATTGCTATAATATTCATTTTCCACTTCAGTTTATACTACTAGAAAAAGATCTAACAATGAAATAAATTATGATTTGATTTTCTAGACAGACTAGTTCACAGTACATGGATCAACATAAACTAGGATCGATTTGGTGTTCAGGTCCCATTATGAAGACGAAGAAGAGTAACAAGTATACAGATTTTTAAAGAGGACCATGTAATAACTGAAGTGTGGGGCTCTTCTTCAGTGTTCCCACACCTGTAAACTTTGAAAAAGGACCACTGGCATAAACAATAGAAGATTCTAGACTAAAACAACAAAGTAATTTATAATGCAGTGAATAAAAAATTATATTATGGAGAATTTTGATGTGCTTACATATGACCTAATGAGGCAAATAGCCTAAGAGCTTTAGCAATCACTAGATATTTTGGTTTAAATACTGTAAATCAAATATATTTAGATAGATTAATGCAATCTACTTATTCATTTGAAAAATAGAAAAAGTTTCACATTTGAAATATAAAGTTGTTAACATTGGAAGATTTTATGTGTTTTAATATTATCTAAATCTAATGCCAATTTTGAGGCTGATAAGCAGTAAAGTTTAAAATAATGAAAAAAATAATATTCATAATATTCCTTTAATGGAAAATTTACTAGAAAAAATTTGTGACTTGTAAAGTGCACTATTAGAAAGATTACTAAATCTTACATAATAGAAACAATAATGCAGCTTTTTTCTTAATATGAAAGATATTCAGTAGTCTAAATTAGATGAGCAACTATTTAAAAAAGAAAAAAATCAACTGGACTTCTACAAAAAGGCAATATTCTACTACTTTAAAAACTGAAGATTTGTGAAAAAAATTCAATGATATGTTTAAGGATTTTATCCTGATTGAAATAAAAATGTATTAATTTCTTGTCTTTGTGCAATCACAATATTTTCTATCTTTTCAGTTATATAAATTATTATAATGAAGTTTCATACTGATGGAAATGCAAAACCTCTAATGTACCCCTCACTCTCACTTTGCTACTGCAGAGGATGGACAGGTGAAAAATGAACTCTCAGGAGGAATATGCTAGTTAAATTTTAATTGCTAATTTAAAAATTAAATTTCTACTCTTTATAAATTACAAATTTATTTTTTGATTTAAAGTAATTCTATAAACTATCTGCTAGCTTCTTCCAGAAGTGTATGTGATTACAATGTATAAAATGTAAGATTATGTAACAAAAAAATAAATCTCTTAATTTCTTTCCTCTCCATATTTGGCATGTAACAACTTGTGGATTTTTAGAATTGTGCTTTAAATTTTTAATTGAATTAGTGTTATCATTTGGGTTTTACTTATTCTTTCAAATTGCATCACAATTAAGCCTATAAGGATAAGCAGTGAAGAGATAATTTCACAAACAAATTTTCAAAAGCATACAAGATTAATTCATATGCTGCTGAGATGAGGCACAAAAAAGAAGCATTATTGAGATAATCTATGGCTAAAATGATGGTGTATGACTTATGATTAAGCTTCATTACCTGCAGAGCAAGGGGCTTCCATCTCATATTTTTCAGTAAAGCTGGTGCTGAGGTAAGCATGCTCTGAGGTCGCTTTTTCAAAGTTAAGATAACACCACTCGGGTCCTCTCGTAGTGCATTCACCAAATTTTTCAACTGCCACCCCACCTGGTAACCAGCAAAATCATTACAATAAAATTGAGGTACAGTACTCAAAGATTTCATGTTCTCCCCCTTTAATAAGATCAGTAAAAAAGAAATCACATAATTGGAGTATCATCCTACCTATTTTCAGGAGATATATATTCAAGAAAGAAGTTTTATTTTGAATTGATTAACCATATTATTGCATTAGAGTCCATATAATAATGAGACAACATAATGGACATTTACCATATCAAAGCGGAGACTAAAACATATCTTGCCATTCAAGTGATTTGGAATATAAAGAAATTATATCACTGTTTATATCACTTAGCTGCTAGGTCTAGGCCCAAGCTCTTCATAAGTACAATTTAAAAGTCCACATGCCAGAAAATGATGAGTTGGCAATCCCCTGAGCTAACAAACCACACCACATGCTTTCTCATCACCATCTTTTAGAGATATGTGACTACAAGTGTCTTTAAATTAGCCTGATATTGCAGGTACTGACACACCAAAGAAATAGTCTGATGCAAGGACAGCAGCACCAGTGAAATAAACCTTTTATCATGTTATAAAGATAGATTTAAAAATGACATGGTAATGTTACTTCAGTGCAGCATTTATTGGCAATGTGTTCCAAATAACCCTATAAGCTTAATATATTGTGTGCTAAATTTAATGAAGTCATTTTATTTAAATATCAGCTCAAAACAATTAAGTGAGATAGTAAATGATTTGAAAACTGGCTTAATGAATATTCATGTTAAATTATTTTACTAATCATCTTTAAACAATTTTAAACATAGAAGAACTTTTGTTAGTCTGCTTTTAAAATGGATTAGTGATGCAGTATCAGGTAATTAAGGTCCCAGAACTGGTTAATTAAAATGTATAATTTTAAGGAAACATTAAAAATAAATTATTGTATTATTTGTTTTTAAAAATAAATTTCATATTAATATTAAATATTAAAACAGAGAACCATTTATCTGAAGTCTAATGAAGTTTTATACAAATATACTGGGTTAAAATTTAAGTTGGATTGCAAAAATAATTCAGGAAATGTTCTAAACAGTGATGTAGTTACTTGTAGGCACCCAAGTAAGTTACTTGAAGGCACACAGATGTCTTTTGTGTGCTCTTAATCAAGTTTTTGTCTAGAAGATATTACTCAAGTGGGAAAGAATAAGCACTTCCACCAAATGAAGCAAAGATCGTAAGAGACTATGAAGACTTAATCTGGAATGTATCCATTGTACTTTAATGGCAGATTTTTGATATATTTATTGAACATTCTATAACTGGTAAATTCAACCACAGATGAACTGAGTGGAGACAAGAAATCAAAACAACAAAACAATGGTGCTTCAGTACTCAAAATCTTGAATATCTTGGCTATGGATCAAAATGAGCAGTATGATAAATAAGAGGGTACTATTTTTGAAAAAGAACATTAAGGCAGATCTGCTTCTATTATGAAACCAGCCAAATACTTCCTATTGTCTACAAGAGGAGATCATTATATATCTAACATCCATTCCGATATCTGATTTCCCTCTGATAGCTAAGTAATGTCTTGATAGCCATTTGTACAAGCTGAGGGCAACATAAGTGAATGTGAATATGGGCATTCATTCATATTCTTGCCCCCTAATGAAACCTAATATTGAATTACAAATTTGAAGGAAGGCAAACTCTTCATACAAAATTTATAAACAATTTATAAATGATAATCATAACTAAATTTGTAAATTAATTAGTAATTAAAACAAGCAATCAATAACTGATAGTTTTCAACAATTCATTGCAAATTTATTTCTATTCATGAGTTTCTTCATATTTCATTCTGTAGAATCACTATGGACAGTTTAAGACATTTATATACTTATTTGTTTTTGACATAGGGTCTTGCTATACGGTTCTGGGTAGCCTTAACCATGTGAACTTTTGATAATATTCTTGCCTCTGCTTCCCATGTAGTTGGATTACAAGCATATATGACCAAGCTGGATTTAGTTGAACACTTTTAAAGTTTCATGCTTTCCTGTGAATTGTTCAGCTCAATTTCATTTGTCCTTTTCTATTACACTTTCTATATAATTTCTTAAGTAATTAATTAAAAAAATTAAAATTAAGAATTACTTGTCCATAGAACATGAAACTGTTTCTGGAAACAGTTTTAATTTGAATATACTTTAATTTTACCTGAATGTTATTTAATCGCCAAATATTTGAATATATAATTTGACTACATTTTAATCAACCTACCTACTATCACTTAACATAATGTCATCGATGGTTTCAACTAAAGCAAATAAATGTATATCAAGAACCATATGCAGTAAATATGTTTGGCTCCCAAATTCTATTTTCATTATCATAAGGAAATGTCAGGTCAAATATGTGAAACTGTACAATTAAGGCAGGATTGTAAATGATGTAAATGTTCATTATGAGGGGATATAAAATTGTGTGTGAAACAAAAGGTCTCACGGTGGCAAAAATAACTTAGTTTTGTTAAAAATGGATATAGATATGGAAGGCAGAATGAGATGTACAATCATTAATAATGATTAATCATTAAGGGGAATAACATACTTTCTTCTTTATACTTATTTGTTTAAATCTTACTGATAAACATTTGAAAATTTTAAAAACAATAAAACACAAGATTTTAGTCTACAAATAGTATATTTTGTCTAGGATATTTTGAATTTCATGAGCTAATCAGAAGAGCTTACTATATGAAAAATGTCTACTCAAAGCACAGAATTAAAAAGGTGCCTCTACTAAAACACCAATAGAAATGAGAAATGAAATCTTCTCTGAATTGCATTTTAGATGACTAGTAAAAGCAAATACAAGTTTATTAAACAGGTTTGTTCAATAAGAACTACATTGATTTTTTTTATTCCATGACTGATTTTCAGTAGACACACGACTTAAGCATTAGGCCCATTTCACATAACAACTCTGGAATGGAAATGAAGCTTGATGAGTAATTTACATAGGAGAATTGTAATTGGATGTGATGACTTTATCATTTGAATGTCTCCTTTATTTCCTCGGTCTTCTTTTGAACTTAATAATTTAGATAATTTCCAATTATTTCATATCTTTAGTTCCTATTGTTTTATGTTGTCAGACTTAACAATTGTCTTCACTGAATTAGGAAATGTGATGTGTTCTTACAACTTCAGGCAAAATGATTCCCAGATATGGTTCTGTGGTATAATCACATTCTTGCAGCCATATAATGAGGTTCAAAGAATTCTTGAAACAGAGTTATTACTCTTTGCCTTATTGACATAATTATTGTTGACAAATAATAGAACATAGATTGAAGGTGTGATATAATGAGGCATACATGTGTGTTACAATTCTACGAAGGTTGTGATCCTCCATGCAAAGAGCTAAGTGTAAGTGCACAAATATCAAAAGAGATAAACTACACAAATGAAAGTTATTCATTTTTTCAAGATTAACTTTCCATTTTCTAATTTATGTTTCTGGCTAGCTTTAAAATATCAAGTGTGACAGACTTAAATGATAGAAATCATGTAGATATTTAATAGCAATATGGAAAAATAATGGCATTCTTTCCACTGGTTTCTGAGTTCTCATGTACTAAGAGACACAGAGAACTTGAAGAAGTGAAGAGAAGACACCCTAACGTTTACTAATATTAACAGTATAAGTCACCAATATTGGAAGGAAACAAAGTATTGAATTTAAAGATACTAGGCTATGAACAAACATGGAAAAACCTACTAACAAATCAAGCTGCATAAAGAATTGCTTGGTTTGTGAATCAGTGAACTCAACATCAAGAACTGTTTCAATAATTTGCAGTTCAAATGATTACAAAACTTCCAAAGTCACAATATATTTCAGCTTTAACAAGAGGGTTGGGATAAAAAAGATAAGGGCAGATTAACTTGTGAAGAGGAACATGATCCTGCTCCATATCTGCCTCCTTATCCTCTCTTCTTGGGGTCTGTATGAGCTAATATTTTATGCTGTCTTGTTATAACAATCTCTTCTCTGTCAACAGTTTCCATTAGCAACTTCCTGAATCTGACTCTCAAATACTTCCATCCTTTTCTGTTTCCTATCAAGTGTTTCAGTCATATACTCTGACTGTGGTGCTAATGCCTACAAAATACTTACACACCAACAGTTCACTTATATATGAAACTATTTTAACTTGAATTTTCCTTCTTACAGCAGCTCAATAAAGCAAGTACTAAGATAATTTTACATGTAATGAAATGGAAACAAAAAGTGATTGGTTGGGGGAGGGCAAGATTACAAATTAAATGGCAGAGACAAGAGTTTACTTTCGTGTCTGTTCAGTTGTATAGCACAGTATCTTCATTCAAATATCTTCTGTCATCTCAAATGAAATCAGTATTCTAAAACACAAACATATTATCTCCACTTTTCTATTTCATTCACCACCACTACCCATCATTTCCATATAGTTCTCCCAAGTTTGGATTCACCTATGGATATTTAACCGTTTTTATCTGCATGTGCACCATAAAAAGATCCTAGCAATTAACATTTCTTTTGATTATTTTAGTTCTAGATAGGGTACTTACTTGCTAGATTTAAAAGTGAGTTGTAAGCTACCTTTCTTCTAGTCTTTTACATCTCTACAATACCACTATGTAAACGTTTTCTTCCTTTCAAAGCTTTTAAATGTTACAAGTTACAGCTTTTCTTCTCTCAAATGTGAGTTTATATAAAAAACACCTACAAAGCTTGCTTTCAATGACAAGACTGTTGAATGTTACTCTAGAGATTCTGATCCAGTAGTTCTGGGGGAGGAGCTTAATAATTTGCTTTGCTTTCTAAATCCAAGTTTCCATATGATGCTGATACTACTTGCTCTTGGTCTGGAATCATACTTTGAAAACTGCTACAATAAATGATGAGCTAGTGGAAACACATGAACTATGAACCAATAACTGAGGAGCCCCCAACTGGATCAGCCCTCTTGATAAGTGAGACAGTTG